CTTATAAGACAAGGTCAACAACTCTCGAATATCCTTATACGACTAACTCATGTTCATTTTCATACCCTCTCCGTCTTCAGAATTTAACTATATTATATATTTTATTGAATAACTTAAAACTATACGGCCCATCAGTACAAAAAAAAATTAAACATAATAATGAATACATGGCGAAAGTTTGCAGGGGTGAGATCCCTAGTGTCCATCTGTCAGATTCCCCAACACTAATATTTACAGTTTATATATTTAAGCTCTGAATTAATTACATGTACATGACACTTTGACTATTCCATCATAATATGCATAAAAAAAAATAAATTTCTAAACTCATATACACAAGTATTCATATATCGATGCAATTTTATTTAATTATACAAAATGGTGAAACATTTTACAAATGAGGGAGCAAAAACTCAAAATTCTCAAACAAGTATCCATTATTTCTTAATCTGATTGCATGTCATGAATAAATAAATTTCGTAACCCATGCAACCAAAACAAGGAGGTCAGATGATGGTGAGGGTCTAGAGAGGTGTTTCTTTGGTCAGAGATTCACCAACAAAACTTAAAAGTTAATGCTAACCGTCTCAAACAGGTTCTGCCAGCAAGTCAATTATTACACCTCCTCAGTTTTGGTAACCCTGGAAATGCTACGACAGCTGAGTGACAGTGGCGAAAGGTGAGTCTCTGGCGCCTTTAAGGAACCGGAACCTGTGACTAAGGGAAGGAAAATCCTGACATAAAACTACTGTTCCAGGGGTTTTGATAAGGGTTAGCAACCCTAACATGTAAAAATTTAACTAGCATGCTACAAAAACCAAAGTCGATGAAAATAGTAACAAGGGAAGGATGGACACCACTTAGGAAACTGAACACATGATAGATGGCCAGTCAAACCCAGCAGGAAACTGATATTCAGATAGTGGACATCCCCAGTCCTTAAGAAGTATGTAGAGCTGGTTACTGGAAGTCCACACCCTCTGCCAGACAGGAAAATTGGCTAAAATCTGAAAGGAAATGGATAGGTACAACATCCAAATGCTAGGTACATGTTAAACGAGATGGATAGAAATGGGACTCGAAAACTTGCCACTGGTATTCAATTTATTTACTCAGGTAGAAACGTTGAACAGCACAGTCGTGGTGTAGGCTTAATACTCAGAAGGAAACTAAGGATGTGCATGTTATGTTGAAAACCATTCAGAGATAGACTTATTTCTGCAAGATTCCATTCAAAATATACCACCGAAAGACAAAGAAGTGGAGGAAAAGATTTTTTTAATGAAGAACTGTAGAAAGGTGTGAAGGAAACTCCATTTTATGATGTAGTCCTCAAATTAGGTGATATAAATGCAAAAGTTGGAATAATGAAAGAAAGAGATCTATAATGTGTAAATGTGGCTGTGGTGTGATAAACAACAACGGTGATAGACTAGTAGATTTTTGCCAAAAATGGTTAACTTTTGAAAGCACCATCTTCTAAAATAATACCATTCACAAGTTAACATACAGTAGACTTCACCTGATGGTCACACAAAGAACCAGATTGACCATGTACTGCATGACAAAAAGAGGTGGAGAAGAACATTGCAGGGTGTTAGAGGATTGAGAGGGGCTGATATATGAAGTGACCGCACGCTTGTCCTAGTAAAGCCGAAATTGAAACCGAGAAAGGTAAGGAAAGAACAATCACCTCAAGTGGATGTGAACAAACTCAAAGACCCCGAAGCCATGAAATCATTTCAGCTCGAGGTTAAAACCCGATTTATCATCCTAAAAAACCCAATAAGAACTCAGTATTGAACAATTCAACATCACACTCGTAGAAGCAGCAAATTAATAAAACACTGGGGTTGAAATGGGAAAAGAAAGAAAACTGGATATCATCTAAGACCTGGGAAATGGTCGAAATAAAATGCAAAACAAAGAAGAAAAAACGAACAGCCAAGTCAGCCAGACAAAGACCAGCTAAAAGTAACTTATATACTCAGAACAAGATAAAGATATAAAGAAAGGTGCACAGTGGGATAAAAGAGACTATGTAAGTATGTTGACATGCTAGCTAGCACAAAATGCAGAAGAGGCTGCCTCAAAACAAGACATGGGAACCTTAATATATCGCATCTCAAAAGCTCGAGTGGAGGATTCTAAAGCACAGATATACCTGTGCGAAAACAAGATGTAAAATTGGCCTCCAGCATAATAGAATAAGAACTTATATAGTGGAAAAATTACTCTGAAAGAGAGTAAACCAGAAATATCGATCAACAGAAGCTGAAATAAGTGAAGGTGTAGACCCCTTGGGGTCCCAGGGATCGACCGTGTACTTGCAGAAATGTTGAAAGCTGAGAAAGTATTAACTCCGAAACCCCTTATTTTACTGATATCCTGCAAACTATTTGGCAGACAGAAACGGTACCAGAGGAATAGAAGGTCGGTTTCATAGTGAAGCTGCCAAGAAAGGTGACTTAACGGACACAAATAACTGATGATGATTATGTTGTTGTCAGTTACCTCTTTATGGTTCTGAATCTTGGAAGGCGACAATCAAAATCACACAGAACTAGATACTTTTCAAACAAGATACCTTTGTAGAATACTCAATATATTCCAGCCGAACAAATTGCCACATTTTCCAATGTATCTAAAAATGTATAATCTGCAATTTCAAATAACAATAAATGGAATGTAAGACATTACACTGTCTTTGTATGGAGCTACATGTACATGCAACCCCCACTCTCCTTCATATGGAATTCCATATACGACAGCCAACTGCTGGCTGCTTACTGCCAACTGCCAGCTGCTTACTGCCAACTGCTCACTGCTTAATGCCAACTGCCACTGTTCATAGATGATATTGCCTGTTTTGTTATTTTTTTATATCTTAAATACGCATGCTTGAATAACTCCTATGATAGCAAGAACATTACAATGATAACAAAAAATTGTCGGATTCAGAAATTTTTAAACAGTGAAGGCGAGGAAGGAATAAATAGAAAGAAGGAGGATTTCTTCTTAAATGCGAAACATTTAATTTCCACATTTCCTTGCAGGCAAATAATTCAATGGCTTTTTTTGACGGGTTAGAGATTGAAGACTTATATAACGTCAGAAAAAGGGGGGGGGGGTTAAGTAGGATCCTGAGTAACTTTTATTGGTATAAGCATCTATACCAGAAATACTATAATGAAAAATCATAATACAATGCATTAATTTTACTCAATGTAAAAACTGTTGACCTCAGGTAAGGAATCAATTTCCGCTTGGGGGGGGGGGCACAACCCAACAGAAATCCCTAAACAAGTAATAAAAAGGTCACAGGCGCCATTATTAAGGGAGCACTACTGTATATTATATGTTGTCAATTTATTTGGGGACGCCCACAACCTCCACCACCAATGTTTTTATAAATCTAAGATTATCCATTAAAACGATTTAAATAAGACACGTATTAAAAAAATCACAAATACAGGTACCTTTCATAGGGTAAAAAGACACATAAAAAATATTACTAGATATTTTACCTTAGGCAAAAGTTAGGTTATTAAAATTTTTAGTAATATTTCTAGTATAAATACGTATTTCAACAAATGTTAATTTTTAGACCCTATTAAAGGTTTGTTCTTTTGTCGTATTTGCCATCAAGGACATGTGGGAATAAATGTTTTATTTTTAAGAGGAAATACTTATTCTTTCGATTTACTCCTCCCTCTCCGTCAAAGTTTCTAAATCAGCAATTGTTTTTAATACTGTAAGAACTACACACGCTAACGCTAATTCCCGTTTACATTTTACATCCATTTGATTCAATATCAATGGGAATTTGGTCATTAAAACTTGTTTGAGAACAAGAAAAGTTCATTAGTAATGGATTAATAATTTTAAAACCAGTGTCAAAGAGTTAATTGCTCTTATTGACAATTCCTTTCGGGGGGGGGGGGTTAGAAAATTTTATCAATTGAAATCAGGCTTCAAAACATCACCGGATTTTCAAATTCTCATGGAAATGGATAAATGACTCTTAATGTTTCAGTTATGTAAAATTCAACATATCAGATTGATAAAGTACATTTTTTACTTGTTATCTCATTTGAAATTGGTAATAAAATACATGTAACTATTTTTATTGTTGTTTCTAAACTTTTGGTATGAATTTTTGAAATAACAATTCATAATACCTGTAAAAAGAAATTGTTGTTTCACACGGGAGGTGGGGGTGAAAATAAATATCCGTTTTCCGTTGATTTGTATACTGATAAACACGAGTTTCACCAAAATTATAGACTTTTCCAAATATGTTATGTTTTATGAAAATTCACATAAATGTCTACATAAATATTAAAAAATCATTAAAATATGTTCAAACTATTTATTCAAGCATGAGTATTAAAGATATTAAGATATTAAAATATAAGCAATATCATCTATAGGCAGTAGCAGTTGGCAGTAAGCAGCCAGCAGTTGACTGTCGTATATGGAATTCCATATGAAGGAGAGTGGGGGTTGCATGTACATGTAGCTCCACACAAAGACAGTGTAATGTCTTACATTCCGTTTATTGTTATTTGGAATTGCAGATTATACGTACATTTTTAGATACATTGGAAAATGTGGCAATTTGTTCGGCTGGAATATTCCATACCTTCACGATATTAAGTTTTGGAGTTGAGCATTTTCATTCTTTTTAATTATTATTATTTTGTATGTCAAATTTTTTCAACCGAAGAAAAAAATAAATAATCTGTCCTTCATCATCTGCATGAAAATAAATATCTGACTCGAAAAAGTTTGAAAGTCCTCTCTCCCCCTCCTACCCCTCCCCCTTTTAATCAAATGGTCGTCCCTTTAGCATAGAATTACTTTATTCACACTAGAGAAGCTTTTAGGAAAGCTATTAATTGTTCAATGACTATTAGATTTGTTGTAAGACGCGCGAAAAGTAACTAATTTTTAAATTACGAAATATATGTAGATCAAACTATCTAATTTAAAATACCAAATCTCGCAAAATAACATCTGACGGGATTTCGGTGCGAGAGCATTTCTTTTCTATTTTTGGATCATTCTTTTTCTGAGGCAAACGGGCAAAAAGGAAGCTCTAAGGTTTGTAAATCATGTTCTTTTCAAAATGTATTTTCTAAAAGATTAAATATAATATCTCAAATTTTTAAGGTATTAATATTTCCACACTTAATCTTTTTACATTCCATAGAATTTCAGTGAGTTAATAATCACGTGTAAGACTGACATAAAAAAAAAACAATGGCTTCTTCAGGAATGGTGAAATTTTTTTCGTTTTTTGTTTTTTAACTCTCCTTTCTTCTGGAATCGTGTTCATTTTATTACATATAAAATGAATTATTGCAAATGTTAGACATTAAAAATTTACACTGTTACCAATGCTACAATATTTCCAGATTTTTTATGAGTCAGAAGGTAGAAAAACCCTCTCTATCAGGCCACCGTCTGAAAACTCGAAAAAGGGGTAAGTAATTTTTTTTTTTCAAAAAAATAAAACACACACACACACACAGTAATGTCTTCATTGAAAGGAGTGAAATCCACATGTTTACATGATAGTCTAGTAGTGTACAGAATCTATTGTTTTGTTTAGTTTTGAGACTTTTCAATGTTTATTTTACAAAATCCTCATTGTAGGATAGTGAACCCAGAGTAGAAGTTTCATTTATTATTTAGATAGTCTCTTCAAAACTGAAGATAATCTATGAATATTATATGTCTGGCAGTGAAACCTTTAGGCACCACAATCATGCTCAGGGTTCGATATTAACTTCTTTAGCACCGGTCCATATGGACCAGTGGATTTCAGTTTTCACAAGTCTGCCCGCTTTCATATGAAATTGATAATTCAGGCATCTTCAACATATTTAAATTAATGAAGAATGACTTTCCAATTAGTTGGTTCTTGTGTTTGGTCATATCTCCTATCTTTTTCTGAATGAAGAAGTAATTTCGGTCTATTGTTTGGTTTTCAACCTTAAACATGTTGGGAGGTCAAATCTTAAGTTTAAATATTTAAATGGAAAAGGAAAAAGATATATTAATTTAAAATCCGAATTAATTCGGTATTAAAATCCAAAATTTAACTAGTCAACATCAATTAGTGCTATATAAAGTTTACAAGTCCAACACTTTTTTACCAGTCTTGAACTTACAGACATGAGTAAATTTTAAACCTTGCAGCTGTTCACAGTTATTAATAATAGAATGTACACCTCTCAATAAGTAGATCCACTGTTTTGTTGTGCATAATTTTATTTTTTTCGATGCATTTTCATGACCTTAAAATAACTTAAATAAAAAATGTTGACAACCCCCCATATCTAGGGAGATTCCAGACTTCTTCAAAAACTCAAACAGAATCTGAGAAAATATGTAATGTTTCCATTGATTTGCTGACAAAAGAATGATGTCACAAACAAAGGCATATTAAATAAAAGTGCTACATTTGTCAGTTTTGTGGCAAGTTTCAAGTTCCAAGTTCAAGTTCTCAACATGCTCAAGTCGGTTTTGTGGCAGAAAGATTGATAATTTCTTTTTAACTTTTCAAGTAACTGCTTTAGCAACTAGAAAGTTTCAAACAAACCATATAATTTCAGAACACTTCTGTATTTACATGGCCCATATTAGGACCACAGAATGTGAACTTCTGTTGCTTTTGAGTAAATGGGATTTGATTTAAAGTATGCTTTAGTATACTATGGTGAACACATTTAAAAGAACCAAAAAATGGTCATTAGAAAGAATTATGTAGATTTTGAATTGTCACATTTGCAGATGAAAAGGAGAAATACGATCCTTCGTCTTTCCGTGATGCAATTATTCAAGGACTGACTGATACAGGGAATGATTTAGATCAGGTAAATATATGTAAGAAAATAATTCTGAGTTAAGTCAAGATTAGGTATCTACATCAGGCTTTGTAAAAATCATCTAGATAAAGAAGAAAGTGATGGTTAGAAATATTTTTGGCAGCATCATTCAAAATCAATAGGAAGTGTAGTAAAATGTAATTTTTTTTATGTGATTTATACAGTTAACTTTCTTGTTTTTTTTTTCAAAGGTTGCCAAATTTCTGGATTTGCAGGGAGGGAAGCTCGACTTTCGTCGATACGCAGATGTGTTATTTGACATCTTATTTGCTGGAGGACAGCTAGGTGATTATAGATAATGAAATTTGGCTGGGTGATTTTTGTTAATTTACTTTAGCTGAAAGCTTTTCTGATCAAATTTTTTGGGTGCATCATCTCATGTGTAGTAGTTAACTTTTTATATTGTCGACTTCTTAGGAACCACTAGCGCAAATTCAAACTTGCCACAAAGCATTCTTGAGTTACAAGAAATCAAGTTTTTTTTTCCAAATCATGTCCTTGTCTGCTAAGTGGGTCAGTTAAAGGGACTAATATTTTACTTGGGAGTATGCAGGATTTTTTTTTTAATTTCTCAAGATCACCAAGATCACAATTAGTTATATTAATATACAAGCATCTTTATGTAGTAAAGATTTGATTGGTCAAATCAGAATGAATAAAATGCTCCTTCTTAAGATTTTCAGGCTATAATTGGTCAAATCAGCAGTAAAGCATCTTCATGAAGTACATTTAGATATGCTCAAATCACTTCAGTGTGTTATGCATAAACCAACTCTTACAGATACATTATCATATAGGATGATCTGTTAAGACCCCCCCCCCCCCCCTCTTTCCCATTTTCAAAGTTTAATTTCTCATTTGAGAAATTTTCTAGATATATGGTATATGGGGGAAAAAAGATTTTAAAAATAAATTAAAATTTGAAGATTAATTAGAATCTAATACATGTATATAAGTAACACTAAATATGGAAGCTAATTTATGATAAAGAATGGGATAGCTGATTCTTAGTTTTTCATATGTTAATTACAACTTGTTTGATATGATGTAATAATATACTCAACAACAAGCTAGAAAAAATCTGTAATGTAATTAATTTTGAAATACATATAAAAGTTTTGCTTAAAAAATAATTACAAATTTAAAATGCAACACATGAAAGGAAGTCTAAGTGATCAAAAGTGGATACATTAATATACTGTATTTATCATTATTGATTGATTTTTAGCCCCGGGTGGATCAATTGTTGAAGATCCCACCGACACTGAAAAACTTTATAGAACAGAGGTCTGTGTGTTCAAGACTGATGATAGCAAATTGAAAGACTTTTATGAGGTAATTTTATATTGCTCAAACTTTAACATCCCATAAAAGTTGAGGTCATTGAATGCAACACTGTGTCACAAATCAAGAACATTTGATCATTTTTACTAGTGTGTGTAAGAGTTCATAACAGCCTGATTTACTTATGTAGGTATTTAACAAACTTCTGAGGAGATACAAGTACCTGGAGAGATCCTTTGAGGATGCACTGAAGAAGGTAAAATTTATTAAGAACTGAATTGGGTTTATAGCAGTATTATTTAATTTAAGGAGAATATAATCATGGAAAGAAAGAAAAAAAATTTACGATCATATGTCAGAATGTACTTTGGCCTTGTATGAATTTTTTCACAGAGTTTAAGATGGTTCACATTGTTTTAACACGTGAAATTTATTTATTGTTTTCAGATCTTGTATTTTATGAAAGGATTCAATGATGATGAAAAACGTAAACTGGCCATCATCACAGGGATATTTTTGGCAAACTCCTTTTGTTCTGCCAAAGTTCTCTCTAGCTTGTTTGAAGAACATCTGGTTAAAGATGGTAAGACATTTTACTCTTTTGACTATGAGAGATTCCAGTGTTCTAAATACTGAAATTAGGTTATTATATTTTACATTATTGGTCATATTCCGGTCATGGAAGCCTAGTAGTGGGGCATTTGCTTTGTGATTGGGAGGCCCTGGTTTGATTCTCATTCAGTCATATACCGTCATGGTAGCCCAGTGGTAGCGTATTCGCTTTGTGATCTGGAGACCTTTATTCAATTCTTGTGGTGTCAATCTAAGACATAAACATAGGTAGTGACTGTTCTTTGCCAAGTATCCAACATTAAAAGTAAAAGTCACTTTTTTTTGGATAAGACCTTAAGTGATAAGTGTCTTGGTAGATATTGGCATGATAAAGAACCCTCATGGTCATTGGCCCTGAGTGCTGAGTATAGGTCTAACTTTGAAGCTCTTCACAGATGTATGGGGACATCTATATATGAGTGCAAAATTTTCGAAAGGGATGTAAAACATCATACAATCAATCAATATTAGTCATAACAATGGGGAAAAAAGAATGCCAGAAGAGATAACTGATAAATTGTTGCAATATATGAGCATTGTACTAACATACCCCATACTGAGGGCTTTAGTGAAATAAAACAAATTCAAGTCTCCAGTTCTTATCATAATAGTAGAAAATATCCATTTTAGTTAGCAGAGGACATTCTCCCTTGAGATAAATGGTATAAATCATGAATTTGTTTATTAATTATACCCCCCCTCCCCCCGCAAACAAAGTTTAGGGGGGGTATATTGGAATCATCATGTCCGTCTGTCTGTCCATCTGTCTGTAGACGAGATTTTGTCCAGAGTGTTTCTCAGAAACTATTGTATAGATTTGTCTGAAAATTTGTACACTTATTATTCACCATATGAAGGTTTGCACCTGGTATTTTCATCATGATTGAATAATTTTTCTGCATTTTAAAGGTGTTTTTTTCATTTTTATTAAGTGATTTTGTCCTGACCTTTTCTCAAAGACTATTTCATAGAATTGTATGAAAATTTGTACACTCATTATTTACCATATGAAGATGTGCACCTGGTATTTTCAACATTATTTGATAGTTTTTCTGCATTTTACAGGGTTTTTTTTTTTTCATTTTTATTGACTTAGTCATTTTGGGTTTATTTCTAAGGTTTGAGACATAGAATCTAGAACATCTGTACAAAAATGTGAACTACAGCTTAAAACTATTCATTAAAACAAAAAAAAAATCACCAAGTATTAAAAAACAATTTTTACATTACACAGCAGATAGTGTAAATCCATTTGTCCCTTGGGAGTAAAGAGTGGACATGCATCCAGTTAAAGATTAATAATAAGTTCAGAGTGGGAAGCTGTTAGAGCATATCTGATCAAGCAGGTGTTATCTATATCTCTTGGGAATTTAAAGATTCTTTAATTCTCTTAATTGTAATTTATTGTCTGTCATAGCACATAGTTACTGGATGACCAGCCTTTTATTCTTAAAATGAATTTGATATAAAGTTATCAAGATTAATTTGATTTTGTTATTCATTGAATTTTTTTTTTCAACAATCAGTTTGCAGAGTGTCATGTCTCAAAAAGATGACAGATAATTGCAATTTATTTTTTCAATGTATTAAAAAAACAATGTCATTACAATGTATTGGTATTGATGTTTTAGTAGGTTGTTCCTTTTTGGTTTCATTCATTAAAAAAAATATAATGAGCAATTATTTTTTCACTCTAAATGTTTATAAGAAAATTGTGAACACCTCTTAGATCCATAAGATATTAGTGATTTGGCACCTCTGAAAAACCCAGCGGAGGGTATTTGTCCCTTTTGGACAGTTCTAGTTTATAAAGACCCAAGCTGTAACAATTCAAGAAATTAATGTACAGGATTTATAGATATGCATACTATAATGTTCACATCTTTTCATGGATTGTAAATATTTTGTTACTATGGTGTATCTACAGGAATATCACTGGATTTTGCTGTCATGATGTTCAAAACCTGGCTTGCAGAGAAGGACATGAACAGTATAACTACAGCTTTTAAGAAAGCTCAGCTGGAGAACAAGCTATTGGTTGGTGTTAACTGTAACAATTCAAATGCTTTAGATAATCGACATATTAGGAATATCTTATTTTGAATTAAATTTTGATCAAGACCTTGTATTCATTCACCTTTTTTTCATTGGAAAAAAAAATGTGAAAAATGAAAATGCATCAAAAAATTTTATGTTAAGTTTTCCAGCAATCAATTTTCATAACAACCTAGGTAAGGATTACAATTTTTTTACAGGAATTATTTCCTTCCAATAAGAGAGATCAGGATACCTTTGTGGCTCATTTTAAGAAAGTTGGATTGGATCCCATTGCAGATTTTCAGGTAGGACTCTGCTCTTATCAAGTTTGTAATTTTTATTTTTTAATTTTGTACTTGAGCTTTAATATTGAAAAATTTTCTTGTCATGATATTGTTGCTCTACTGAACAGGAAGCGCAAAGAAATTTTCAAGATAAGGTTGAGCTAAAGAAGCATTTAAGCGAAATGATCAAGGATGATGAGCCCCCAAAAGAGGTAATTGTCTGGGTTTTCTAATTCAGTAAATATAAAGGGATGGTGAGAGATATAATCATTCAGTCACATCATGTTTCAATCAGTTTAATTCATGTTATTTTCAGTTTGATAATGAAAGAACATCAGAGATAACAACTTCTTTGCTGATCATTATGCAATCTTTCATTTTAGATGGTTGCCTATGTGACGGAACATATGCAGAAACATAATCTTAAAGAACAAGAAGTGACCATATTGGTAAGTTATCCATAGCAATCATTGTAATTTGTTAAAAGTATATTTTACTTCTGCAGAATTCTAGCAAGATTATGATATTTTAAATAATAATCTCAGAAAGATGTATTTCATCATCTTTCTTTTACTAATTTAAGATTCATATACACTGGATATTGCATTGTTGACAGGTTTGGAGCACCATTATGGCCTCAGTGGAGTGGAACAAGAAGGATGAGTTGGTTGCAGAGCAAGCCATAAAACATCTGAAGACATATTGTCCACTTCTGGCAGCTGTGGCTAAATCTGGCAAAGCTGAACTCTCCCTTCTGGTCAAAATACAGGAGTATTGCTATGACAACATGAACTTCATGAAGTCATTTCAGAAGATCGTCTTCATGTTGTACAAAAGTAAGATTTTTTTTTTCAAAAATTTGGGTCAAGTATTCAAACAATTAATATTAATGAAGAGAAATGTGGTCCCTTTGAGCATTATAAAGCACCAAAATCCTGTGAACTTAGTAATGTAAAAGTTTGCTTGGTAAGTTTTCAAAATGTGCAAGTCTTTTATTGCATTTGATGACAAGAGCCCAGTTCCTCAAAACTATCATAAGATCTGTCATAAGTTATTTTAAAAATCTTGGATTGTTTCATGAATTAACTTGCACATGCAACAATCATTACAAATAACATTTCACAAAACTCTAAGATATTGTAAACCAACTATTATTCCCGTCATTTTTTATTCACGATTTGTCAGTTTGAAATCAATCCATGACGATTAATTTTCATGACTGAGGAAACATTCTTTACAAATATAATTAATATTCGCATTAAAGCAGGTCGTGAAACTCGCAGATATTTCTAGCACGCTAATAAAAAGTTGGTTTACAGTATGATAAAATGTTTAGACTGGTCATTGCTCACACAATAATTCTCTCTTTATTGCTAAATTTATAAATTAGCTACTTCAACTTTTGTTTAAACATGTTTTTATTTAATATCTGAATTGATAGTAGTGCGAAGTAGAACAAATTTAGTTTTAAGATAGACCTTAGACACAAGAAAGCTATATGAAATGCCCAAGATGTATACTCAATTGAAATAATGGTACTGTTTATAATCAGCTGAGGTTCTAAGAGAAGAAGTAATATTAAAATGGTACAAGGATGGACACTCAGCCAAAGGAAAGAGTGTGTTTTTGGAGCAAATGAAGAAATTTGTTGAGTGGCTGGAAAATGCCTCTGAAGGTTTGTGAATAAAAGCCATTTTCATACTATTCCATGTTCTAAGAAATGTTAAGTGTGAAGGATCTATTTAATGCTCAGATAAATTCTATTCAGTCAATTGTGACTTCCCATCTTAAAACTTGAAAAAATATTTAATTAAGTGAATCCCCTTTATTTTTCTTCCAGAATCTGAAGAAGATGAAGATTAAATCCTCATTACTATATCAGGGAGATAGTATTTTCCTCTGCCTTGCATCTGTCTATGCAGGCTCCTCCTTTTTCACCCTAAAGACAGGTGCTTTTCCATTTCCAATTTTTGTAAAATTTTAATGCACGTTATTGGTACCATTGTACCACCCATGACTTAATCAGCAGCATAGAAAATAGTTTACAAAAATGAAATGTTTAAATAAAGTTACTGGATTAGATGGTTGTACAAGTATTGTTTATAGAAGGTAACTACACAATGAATATTTTCATGTATAGTTTGTAAATTAAAATGGAATCAAGTACTGATTTTGATGATTTAGGTCTAGCTTTTGTATATTTCTTTTTCATCTTTTTACCTTAGAAGAATATCATCATAATTTGTCACGTTTCATAGATGTAATATTTGTACAGGTATCTCGGTATGTTTCTGTGCTACTATAGCAATAAACAGTGATGTAATCAATAAAACAACCACTTTTATAAATGAATTGACTTATGAATGCTTTTGAAGCAAATCAAATGATGTATTCTGTTTGTATTATGATGTATTCATAAATAAAGGTCTCTTGTATATTTAATTTTTTTTTTACGAAGACAAACATCTTATGTAAGTCTTAGGGGAAAAACATTATGTACAATGTTAGTTTGTAACTGGAAGTAGAACTCTTAGGGGTTGATGTAGCTCTTCCTACACTATCAAACCTGAACCTAGCGAAGTCATGGTTTTTATTCAGACATCCTGGTCACGGCACCAGGATGGTTTGAATAGAAACTATGACTTAGCTAGTAAAGGAGCACAATTATTGCCGATCATAATTCCAACAGTTTGTTGGAAGATCTGGTCTCCAAAGATGGATGTTTTGTTGGAAGGCATGGTCTACAAAGATAGATGTTGTGAATGAGGAACTCCAGCATCCTTTAATATTAACTTCAGAGTACTGGTGTGTAGAATCAGAGTGGTTTTTCATCTCACCTCAACGAAGTCGGGGGAGCATATGTAATACCGTCGGCGTCCCAGGTTAAAGTTTTTTGGTGCAGATTTCTTTTTAAGTACTTCTATGCCTTTTATTAATCAGAGATGCATGGAGGATGCTTGTAGTATGTTTCATTGTACCAGTCAAGGTTTCAGATGCTGCAATTTCAGGTGAAGAATGACCAGGTTAATGTTTTTGGAGCAGGTTAAAGTTTTTGGAGCAGGTCTCGTTTCCAAGTAACTATAATCCCTATATTGACCAAAATTGCATGGATGATACATCTAAGGATGCATGCTACTGGATTTCCTTCGGATGCTGGATCTGACCTACATTTTCCGGACGAGTGAACAGGTTAAAGTTTTTAGAGCAGGTCTTGTTTCCAAGTAACTATAATCCCTATATTGACCAAACTTGCATGGATGATACATCTAAGGATGCATGCTACTGGACTTGCTTCTGATGCTGGATCTGACCTACATTTTCCGGATGAGTGACCAGGTTAAAGTTTTTAGAGCAGGTCTCATTTCCAAGTAACTATAATCCCTATATTGACCAAACATGCATGGATGATACATCTAAGGATGGGCACTACTGGACTTGCTTAGGATGCTGGATCTGACCTACATTTTCCGGATGAGTGACCAGATTAAAGTTTTTGGATCAGGTCTCATTTCCAAGTAACTTTAAGCCAGATGTTGACCAAACTTGGATGATACATCTAAAGATGCACACTATCAGGCATGTATCGGATGCTGTGTCTGACCTACTTTTTCTAGATGAGTGACCAGATTAAAGTAAACTTGAGGGTTATCTGAACCAAACTTTCATGGATGATGCATCATGGGATGAACACTTTCAAACTTGCTTCGGATTCTGGATATGACTTAAATTTTCTGGATGAGTGACTAGTTTAAAGTTTTTAGGTAAGTCCATTCCCAAGTAACTGCAAGCCCTATCGGACCAAAATTGCATAAATGTTACATCTAGGGATGCACACTACTAGATTATTGGTTTGGGACTTTGCCTTACTTAAAGATAACATTCGTTGAGGTGAGCTCTGTAATCTCTGATTACCTATGTTTACAAAGTAATTTTGTAGATGACCAATGACAAGATATGAAAATTTCAAAGTTCCATTTTTATTGAAGAAGCAGTTGTCTATTATATCAAAAAGCGTAGTTGTTAATTTATAGTGAGGAATGGTTGTATAAAGTGTAGAAAAGTCATACGTTGTGATGTTACTGATTTGCAAAATTCTGCGATTTTGAATTTTCTAAAAGTTCTTACGGTTTTTGAGAATTCCCATTTGATTTACACCACTTCTCAAATCTGATGAGATTTCTCATTTACAACAGTTAAAATTTTTATAAAGGGTAAAGATAAGGACTTGATATAACAGCTGCTGGACCCGGCAATGTATTTTTGCTTGTAAAGATTTTGTATGACGTTTAGGAATCCAATATATGTAGGGTAGGTCGAACTTACTCGTCCATGGTACCTGATCCCACCTCTGTTCTCAGAGATCCTGTTGGCTCATAATTTGTATTGTTTAACTAGACTTTTTGGTATGATCACTATCCCCCCCCCCCCCCCGAAACACTTTTCAAAATTATTAGTTTAAACCTCAAAGGATTTTCTTATTTCTTCTGTTTTGATTCTTTTGTTCGTACAAGGACACCTCTACACCCCTTTACTACTCTACACACAGAAAAAATTCTGATTGAAATATTCTTATTTAGTCTTCTGAGAAAATGTTTAATCAATTACTTTACCTCTGTCGCTATCATCTCTCTGAGAATTAAGAAAGATTAGCATAAATAATGTATTTCCCAACAACCAACATGAATTTGAATTACCATATCTATATTGGATTTCGAAACTTCCTAAAAATCCTAATGTTCTACCAAGCCTCTTTCTTTACTCCTCACTGAAATATTAACAGTAAAGAAGGAGAAACTTCAGGAGTACTGTGCAACAATATATTCGAGAAGTGATGTAAATCAGATGTGGATACTTAAAAATTCTAAGGAACTTTTGGAAAATTTAAAATCACAAAATTTCACCAAAATCAACAACATAAATATATACTACGACTTTTCAACTTAATAATATTCAACCATTCCCCACGATAAATTAAAGTCCAGGCTTTTTGATATCATTGACAGCTGCTTTTTCAATTAAAAAATGGAACTTGTAAATACATGTATACTTACCTTGTCATTGGTCATTTGCAAAATTATTTTGTCAAAAAAAAAATTCTGATTGTACACACAATTGTAAGTATACTCTGAAGTTGATATTAAAAAGATGCTTGAGTTTCTGATTGACAATATCTATGTAGTTTTTGGAGACCAGGTCTTCCAACAATTTATTGGAATTCTCATGGGTATACCAATTGTGCCTCGTTATTAGCAGACCTATTTTTGTATTCATATGAGGCAGAATTTGTTCATAATCTTAAACGTGAAAAGAAGAAAACACTTGCTGTGGCCTTCAACTCGACATTTAGATATATCGACGACCTCGACATTTAGATATATCGACGACGTATTGTCAATTAACAATGGTTATTTCCATTCTTATGAAGATACGATATAGCCCGGTGAGCTTGAAATAAAAGATACCACAGAGTCTGACGCATCTTATTTGGCTAGAAAAAGACGTTAATGGCATTCTAACAACCAAGCTTTATGATAAACATGATGACTTTAACTTTTCAGTTGTCAACTTCCCTTACTTATGCAGCAATATACCTTCATCACCGGCATACGGGGTTTTTATCTCTCAGTTGACTCGATACGCAAGAGCATGCTCTACGTATGAACAATTTCTAAAACGAGGTGAGTTATTGACAAACAAGTTGATGAAACAAGAATATCAGCAGTCTCGTTTAAAGTTGTCATTCGTAAGTTCTATGGTCGATACAATGACCTTGTCAGCAAATACAATTTATCATTAAGGGTGAATTAAAAAAAAAAAATGACCACCAAATTGAAATTTTTTGAAAAAATTCAACTACCCATAGCATATTTTTCACTCTTATCATCATATTGTACATGCATTCTAGTTAAAATTCCTGAAGTTGTAATAGAATAGACAATTGGATAAAAAAAGTTGCATGATTTTTATTAGTAAAACTTTATTTGAAAAAAGAAAATATCACTATATCCTAAAAGACTTTCTAAAATACATAACAAAAAGTAATTATAGCTTTCATGCTTCAAAATGGTATCAGGGATATAAATGATTAAATCTAAACCTTGATTGAGTTTCTTCTCTTGTATATGTGGAAAAAATTTGGCTTTTTGATTGTTATTTTACATTATTTTTTCAATTCTGTTTTGAAAAGTTGTAATATGAAAGAAATATGCAACAATAACCCCCCACCCCCAAATCATTTTTTTTGGTCCATTTAAGTCAGTTCGGCTTGGCCAAGATCAGGTGCCCATTTCCAACTAAATGATGTTATATAGATGTAACTCTTTATAGTTACATCTAATCTAAATGTCTTTTGTTGCATTGCAAAGAGCAGAATGAGAGCTTTCCATTGGTATATAATATCTTATATATAGTATCTGCGTCTTTGAAAAAACAACAGAATAAAGTCAAAGATTCATAATTTTTGAAGCGTTATGCTGTTGCACTTGATTTTTTACATTTTAAAAAATGGTTAATTAAAATTATTTTGAATGAAACATTTAAAAATAAATATACTTAATTACAGAGAAATCACTCTGGTTTAGTTTATTTTTTACAGAAAAGAAAAAGGATAAAAATTGTGGAAATAATGAATAAATGTGTGCAGATATACCTTTGTTATATAATTTAAGATTTATCAATGTTGGAATAAATGCATAATTTTTAGCAAAAAAGAGCAAATATAATGTGTTTAATTCTTTTTTATTTTACTGAAGAAAAAAAGTACTATGAGAAAAATATAGTGGTTATATGGTAAAATGCGTACACATTTTGTAATTTTTTTCCCATACTGGTCAAAGTTTTTGTATAGTCCGTAGCCCCATATTTCATTATAGTTTGTGTTCAACAAAAGAATGTAGAATGTTTTTAAATACAAATACCACTGTAATTAAAGATAAAATGTCTGAAAATAAACATTTTTAAACTATAGGCTTGCTTCTGTAGTCTGTCCTGCTATGTTTGTGGTCACAACATATTTCTAAATATACATGATAAAGTTTTCCTTCTTGTGATACATACTATTATTCCATTTAGAATAATTTGCATTGTAATATTTTTAAAAGGATATTGAACCACAAAAATCCTACTTACAAAAGGGCTACGGACTCTACAAATAAATTTAGCAAATTTACAGACCATATAACCGTACTTCTGTATTAGCAAGATTTTTTTTCCTGCCTGCATCTACTGCAAAATTGGGCTTCAATGGCTTATTACTTCTCATCAACCAGTCTTAACATTCCATAGTGGGATTTGATCCCAAAACATAATGATCAACTCCTTACTTTGCAATTTAGTACAAAGTGAGACCTTCACTCTTATAACTGTGCCACCCAATCTACTTGTCACTGAACTGTTAATTTAAAAAAAAAAGCATTGATTCTTGATGGATAAATATTG